CAAGATTCCGCTCTCCCCTTCCCCAGAGGCCACATGAAGCTCTGGTCTGGGGTTTCAGGCCTATCCTCTGGTCTCCCGTCTCTTAGGCAGAAGTAGAACATCTCTAGTTATCCTGCTTCTCCTAGAACCTCCATCTCACCTGCTTGCTAGGAGCCATGCAAGGTCCTTCATAGGGGAAGAAAACATAGCATTTCTGTGAATACCTTGTCCTTGAGACCACAGGAGGTGGGAGGTGGTCTATGACCTGTAGGACCATCTCTTGAACTGCAGACTGGCAGTTCTCAAGAGAGAAAGCTGTACATACAAATGTGTTAGGAACACGTGGTGAGGCTTCAGGGTTTCCGTGTCTGGGAGAAGGAGGCCACATGTGAAAGGCAGCCTTGAGTCCTCGGGCACATGGGCCATCTAACAGTCCCGCAGTGAGCTGGCCACACCAGGCACCCTCAGTGTGTTTTAGGCCTTTGGAGGACTCACATGCTACCATCTAAATCTGACTGTGTCACCTTTACTAACTGGCCCGTGGAATGGCCGCTGAGGATCTCTCTCAGTCTTCCTTCATAACCCTCTTCCTTTTGCCTCCTGTCACATGCTATTGGTAAACACTAGGTTAGTGCGTTATGGCACAGAGGACTGTCTCCAAAACGTCCCTTGGCTGGCACCAGTGCCGGAGTCTCGGGAAGAGCAGGTCTGCATTCCAAGCGACAACCCAGAGACAGAGGAAGGTGAGGTCCAGCATGTCCCGCTTCCCAGAGGTGATGGAGACAGGCGAGCAGGCTTTGAGGGAAGCTTTTTCTCCATAACCAAACTGTCCTCTTTGGCTCTAGTTACAGCCACACAGCTGCCACAGGATGGCAGAGAACAAAATGAAGAAGTTATTCAAAAAGAACCTGAGATGCTGCCAAGAGGGAAAAGACCGGAGGAATGCAGCGGACCGCTGTGAGCCTCCTGCCTGCGTTATCTGTGGTGCTGCCTCAGCTGTGCCTGGCTGGTGTGTGCCTAGATAAGAGCTGAGCATCCCTGTGTGCCCTTGGTGACTGAGTCAGTAGGGAGTAAAGTCACTTGAAGGGATGTGCCTATCTATACTAGGATTGGAGTTCTGCTTCTGGATGGAGATTTTAGCCTTTGCATGTGGCTGGGGACTGGCTTGATTCCCTCCTCGACAATTGTGAAAAGTAGAACGGAAACCTTTTCCAAGTCCCAGCTGGGTGACAGGGGCCTCACTGAATGAAAAGGGGGATTTCCTAGGCAGCTGCTCCATCTCCATGCCCTTGTGTCTTGATTACTGTCAGTGAGTGACACTGTTGAATTCCTTCAGCAGTAACTGGGCTCTAACTGGCTGGACCAAATGTTGCCCTAAAGCATGTCCTCTGGCCTCCGAGTGGGAGCTGTTGGGAACCGAAGCAGAGTTGGGAAAAGAAAACAGCTCCTTCCCGGAGTGACTGTGGACTGAAAGGCCAGAACAAGATGGCTGATTCCCGAAAAGACACCATGATGGCCAGGAGAACTGGGGTGCTCCTTAGCATCTTAGATACAAACCAGTCCAGTTCCTTGTGCACAGCAACAGGAACTATAGGAATCTGCCAAGGGTGTACCCAGGAAGGAGCAATCAGAGGTCAGGTTCTTCTGTGCCCTTGGGACTTTCTTTCTCCAATCAGGGCCTTGGCACATGCTTTGAGTGTATTACTAATGCATCCTGGTGCATCGATGCCGCTTACCTGCTTCTGCTAGAGGCAATGGAGTGATTGACACCGGCCCAGTCAGTCCCGAGGGTTCCTCTCTTTTGCATGTAAGCGGGTGTGAAGAAAAGAGTAGCTGAATAATGAGTTTACCCATTAACCTTCCTTTTTTATCTTCATCTTGTGGGCAGATAGTGAAAAACTTGTTTCTTCCTGGCTCACAGAGGAGACTTTGGCAGAAGGGTCAGACTTCTTTATAACCTACTTGATTTTATAGATTTCAGGCCAAAGAAAACGAACATTTATAACACTTGAAATGTTTTCAACATTAGCCAACCTCACTGCCATCTGGTGGTAGGAATTCTATTGCTCTTCTCTTCTCTTCTCTTCTCTTCTCTTCTCTTCCCTTCCCTTCCCTTCCCTTCCCTTCCCTTCCCTTCCTTTCTCTCCCCTCCCCTCCCCTCCCCTCTCCTCCCCTCCCCTCCCCTCCCTTCCCCTTCCTTCCTTCCTTCCTTTCTTTCTTTCTTTCTTACTTTTATTGAGCTCTACATTTTCTCTGCTCCCCTTTCTATCTCTCCCCTCCTCTTCAACCCTCTCCCAAGGTTCCCATGCTCCCAATTTACTCAGGAGATCTTGTCTTTTTTTCTACTTCCCATGTAGATTAGATCTATGTATGTCTCTCTTAGTGTCCTCATTGTTGTCTAGGGTCTCTGGGATTGTGATTTGTGGGCTGGTTTTCTTTGCTTTATGTTTAAAAACCACCTATGAGTGAGTACATGTGACAATTGTCTTTCTGTATCTGGGTTACCTCACTCAAAATGATGTTTTCTAGCTTCATGCCAGTAGGATCAAAGAACAGCCTGTAGGAGCTGGATCTTCTACCATGTGAGTTTAAAAAATAATAATAATAAAAAAAAAACCCTGATGTCATCAGGCTTGGTGACAAGCCCCTCTACCTGCTGAGCCACCTCCCGGCCCTTGGCGTGCTTCTTGATTGAGCCAGCCCACACTCTGACAATTCGTGCTTCCTTTTAACAAAGGTTTACTGAGTATTACTATGTGCGAAACCTGACTCTGAGTCCTCATCCTAGGTGAGAGGGGGAACCGTGGTCAGCTCTCACTTCAAGTCAGTTTGGAGTACAGGGGTCTCACACTGGATAATTGTGGGATTCTGGGCGGCTTTGTTAGTGCCAGGAGTGGTAAAAACATGATCAGTCAGTATATGGCTTGTTTCTGTTACCCCTGCGGACAGCCCTGCCCTGGACTGGGACTTCCTTAATGGACTCTTTTGGTAGGTGGCTCATTCCAAGGCTCTAGCAGCTGTCAGTTCTGTATCCTGCAGCCTACTGGCTCTGCTGCTTTGCATTTAAGAATTTCCTTATGGGGGAAGGAGCTGTTTGATAAGTGAAAAAGCCCCTTACAGCCCAAGTGCTAATTATCTTCCCCTTACCCAAAGGCAGTTTTACCTATATCTGTGCCCTTTTAACACTAAACGAGTTGGCCAGGGGAAATTCCTTAGATCCATATAAAGCAAGGTAGGTGATCTTCAGGGCCTGTGCTGTTCCTTCAGGTGTCCAAAATACCCCTCAAGGGTCTCCTCTGGCCACTGAGGAGGGAAGACAATCAGGCAACTTCTTGCATAGTGAGACAGGATTTGGGAGGCATCTGTTTATCTGCAGAGCTGTCCAGAATGCTGCTAATTGTTCTGCGAAGAAACAGTTGAACTTCCGGTACATCCCAAAGCTAATGCTGTGGAAGTCTTAGCTAGGACGAGGCTGTGTGTGCACGCATCCGCTGTCTGCTTTTGCTGTACCTGGGTCAGATGGTAATTAGACTTCCAAATAGTGATACGAAACCAACTGCTAGGCAGTTATTTCCCCATTGATCATGCTTTCAGCGCAACTTGTCTTTTCAAGACAGTTTAGCAAGCTCCACCTTTGGATGTGTGTATTTTAACAGACCTTTTACCGATTGGAAACCAGGTCCCCAGGCTTCAGGATGGGTTCTGCTCATGCTGGTGGGGAGGGATCCCTCACCACTTGCTTTGCGGTTGTGACATTTGGGGCACACAGACGCTTGCTTCAACCAGCACCTCCTGGAAGTGCCCCTGAAGAAGAGGATGAGCCTTCCGTCAGCAGAAGCGGCGTCTCACAGCCCTTTCCTTGGCTCGCTTGTGGCCATTTCAACAGAAATCTGGGGTTTTACCCACATACGGGTTGTCTTCCCTGTGGACAGAATAATAATTGTCAATAAATTAAAATGTTCTAGAATGATAAACGTCGAAGAAATGTGTGTGTGTGTGCGCGCGCGCGTGCACGCGCGCGCGCACACTCATCGTGGGGTAATTTCTCTAAAGTTATAAGACGAAACCCTGATAGGCTATTAATCGTGGAACAAGGTAATGTTTTGCTGGAATTGAGGTATGATTTCTGGGAAACTAGAAGCAGGATAGATTCACCATACAGCTGCAATTCTTTTTCCACATTCAGAATGCCGAAGTGAGTAGCCTGTCAGGGGCAGAAAAGGACTCTCATCCTTGCTGAAGGGACACTTTTCTGGAGCTGTTGTTTCAGATGTGTGCTTCCTTATGGCGATGTTCTCTTTTTGAAGTCCGCGTCCATTCCACTGAGTAGATACAGTTAAACCGATAGAGCTTTATAAACCCAAATTATCAGAAGAATAGAAAAGTTTAGGAAAACCTTCGCTCTTCCCAGTTGTGGGTTAGCCTCGGTCTGGTTTCCATTATGACTATCCGTTTTCTAGGAACTGTGGTTTCTGTCGGCTGTAGAGGAGAGGTACTGATCGGGTTCTGACTGAAGTTCCGCTTTACTCTTAAGAAACTGTAGAATAGTCTTTGATGTTGTCTGTGCTGATGCGTCAACACATCAGGTTCGCTGAGTGGGGTGGTGTGTGTCTGTTACAGTCCATCACCACCGGCACAGAGACCTGGGCAGTCTGCAAGCAGCTGTCGTGTGTGTGTGTGTGTGTGTGTGTGTGTGTGTGTTTTAAGCTGCTTTGCCCAAGCGCCATGGCTTCCACCTAAACCACTTTGTGTTTACATTGGACAGAGTTTTTCTTTGTGGGTAGCATGGGATTATTTGATTTCTCTTCTGGGTCTTAACACAAATTCTATACTCCTTGGAAACGTCAAGGCTTGACTTTTTCAGTGGCTAATGAATATTGCTAATTGCGTGATGACCTTTCTCTTTCAGCATGCTCAGCGAAAGAGGTTTTGTATACGTGGGTCGATGTTTTTCTGTTTTTCAGGTTGGTCATGTCATCCACTCCCTGCCAGTCCTCTAACTTTTTTATTTGATCTTGTAGATACGGCCCGAGAACTCCTGTGTCAGATGACGCAGAGTAAGTGGCATCGCATCCGTAGGGATTACATTAATCGCTAGCCTAAACTGCATGCTTCCAGTACTTACCACTAATTGGCATGCCCCGGATGCTGCAGCGAGCTGCAAAGTGAGCCCAGGCCCCAGCGGAGCACACGGGGCCCCGAGGCAGAACGTGTTCTGTGCAGGGAAGAGGAGTGAGAAGGCAACTTAAGCATGATGCTAATGTCCAGTCGGTGCTTCAGCTTTTCTTCTCGTTTTTCATAGCTCAGCATGCTCAAGCTGCTCTAGTGAGCTGAACTTTGGTGCCCTTCCTCAACGAGGAAGTCCTGGGACTATTGGGATTAGGAAAGGGCTGTCTTGAGTTTGGCAGTTTAACTCCTAATGCGCTGGGGCTTAGCATAAACAATGAAGTAGTCATTCCTAATGGTCACATTTTTTCCCCCAAAACTAAGAAAATAAATCCTAACCACTAATTATAGATTCAGAAGCCCAAGTTCCTACCAGGTTGGAGTCATAGGAACTGTGCGATGCTTAAGACCCAAACATTGGGGTTTTGTTCAAGTTCCCCAGCATAGCAAGGGCTCAAGAGTATAAAACAGGACCTGGGTTTCTCCCTGCCACTTGCTTTTCCTCCCACACAGAGGTCTTTTTCCCACTCAGCACCTCACATACCCAGTTTGAGAAGAATCTTAACTGTTCCATCTGTGACCTTATAAATTCTGTCCCAACAATGGATTTCCTGTAAGCAGATCATTCTGCACCAGATATACAGAGTTTTCTAGAATAATATTCTTCTCAGGTCTGAGTAATTAGTCCTTTAACGATCAGGATTTAATATTTCATACCAACATATCAACAACAAAGGTGTGTGTGTCCTGACAGAGACAAGGCCATCCCCGGAAGGATGAGCGCTGCCTGTTCTCCTTGGCCAAGGTCCACGTCATAGAAAGGAGTTTAAGCCGGGGAGTAGAAGTTACAGATGTCATTTCCACCCATGACACAATAATGGTATTTAAGCAGAGGGGGACTTTAAACAATGTTTCGCATCATGCTTTTCCTGTTTGTGTTGAAGATATCAGCCTAGGTTAGGCTCTTAGCCCTAGCCATTCCTGTTCCATCCCCAAGTTCTGATGGGCAATCTAGAACTGTTTGGTTATCTGGGAGACAGAACCTTCGTGCCTCCGAAATGAAATTCAGTCCGTGCTTGACTGACTGCCCGGAGTGAGGCAGTCTGTAAAACTGAGGCCTGAACCCGCAGTGGCAACATTTAAGATCCCTGACAGGAGGAGGGCAGTGAGATTGACAGATGATATACTCCTCTGACAGGGCGGACAGCTACATTGTGACAGAGTGGAGTTGATCTTCACCAAGGCCAAGCAGGGTGCAGTGTGCCCAAAGTAGATCTTGGGAAAACCTAAAAGGTGAAGGGACAGAAGCTACGCTCAGAGGGCTCTAGATCTTCCCCACTCCTGCCTCTGAGAAACTTAGCGACTGTTTAAAGGGACAGGGCTCAGGGCTCCCTTCTCCGGTGTTTATAAAAACTGTCCCTGTGGACCAGGAAGAGGTCAAGGGCCTTCTTGTCCAGAGGTTTGATTTGAGAATATTAACCAAATTAACTGCTTAGAGCAGACATGGTTGCCGTGAAGGAAGTTCAACCTCTGAACTGAAGAACGCTTTCTAAGTAGTGACTCAGCCCATTTTCTGTATTGTCAATTTTCAACTTTTTCAGTTCCTTTTTTTAAAAAAATAAATGACAAAATGTTACAATTTTGCTGTTTTCTTTTTTAGCAAGTTGTTGGTATTTCTTTAAACACACATACACACACACACACACACACACACACACACACACACACACGGGAGTGGGGGAGGGAGGGAGGCAGGGATAGTACTTCCTGCTATAGGAGAGGGCAAGCAAGAGTTTCACTTAATTATCTGGCCTTTGGCCACCCTTGGGCTGAGATGAGTCAGAGCCTCATAAATCAAGGCTGAGGAAGGCAGCTGTGGAAGCCTCTCAGTCCCTCCATGAACAGCTAGTGAGTGGCTGAATCCCACACCTTGGAGAAGCCAACTGCTTGCTTCCCACCCCTGCAGAGGCTTCTGCCTAGCCGCCTACTATCACCAACCCGGAATTCTGTCTGTCCTTTAGAGCTCACAGGCAGCAACGCCTGGCCGCCTCTTTCTCCCCAACCTGTTGACAGCTTGGTGTGTAAGGTACTCAGCTCAGTGATACACCCAAGGGCTTTAGTAGAAACTGGAATTTGCCTTTAAAATAACTGACTGGATTGGATAGTTTAAAGGTAAAATTCCCCCCCCACACACACACACTATAAAGTGTATGAGTTTCCGTCTATTTCTAGAAGGCCTACTTATGTGATTTTTTTTTTTTTTTGGTGCCTCTCTTGGAACTAGCTCTTGTAGATCAGGCTGGTGTTGAACTCACAGAGATCCGCCTGCCTCTGCCTCCCAAGTGCTGGGATTAAGATGTGTGCCGTCACTGCCTGGTTGTGAATTTTTTTTTAAAGTTTTTTTTTTGGGGGGGTTTTTCGAGACAGGGTTTCTCTGTGGCTTTGGAACCTGTCCTGGAACTAGCTCTGTAGACCAGGCTGGTCTCGAACTCACAGAGATCCGCCTGCCTCTGCCTCCCGAGTACTGGGATTAAAGGCGTGCGTTTTTTATCTTAAAGCTAAAACAACAACAACATTCTACTTAACCCTGTAAATTCCTGAGCCTTTCTTAACGCTAATAAATAGGGTAAAGAGATTAAAAAAGATCCCAGCCCCTTCCCCTTTGAGGGGAAGTTTTGTTTTTTCCTGCAAGGCCCAGCTTTGGAAGCCAGCACTCCTGGCAGAGCTGGCCACAGCAGCTTCCCACTATGCTAAATCACCCCTGGACTGACAGAAGACCCCTCAGATTCAAAAACAAGTCTCTGCAGTGACACTCTGGAGAAGATAGTCTTTGAGTTCGAGGTCTCGGGTTAGATTTCAGATGTCCAGCAGCCGGAGAAAGGGTCGAGGAACCCGGCCGTCCATGCAGACTCACCGCATGGTGCTTCTGCCCTTTGTGTCTCTGAAGGTGTCTGGAGTCAGTTGCCAAGCGCATGGCTTCCTTGGTTTTTTCTGGACGTTAAACTGGCTTTAAAAACGGATTACCACCATCTTCTACAGCTAGGGGGCTTGGAAGGTTTCTCCATGACCTCTTGCGGATGCAGTCCATGCTATCCTTTTGGTTTTAAGAGCTTATCATTTCTTTAAGGGGCGCGGGGAGGAGGGTTTTGCTTTGGTCTCTGCTTCCGTGTTCTCCTGCTGCTCCAGTGCTTGCTCTTCACAGGTCGGTTGAGGTCTGTGGTCTTAGTAAATTGCCGACAGAGTCTATCAGCGGCATGCACAGCCAAAAAGGTTTGCTTGTCTTCATTGCCTGCCCTTTCCCTTCGAAAGTAAATTAAAAATATCCTGGCAAAAATAAACCAAAGTGATTGTGAACACATTAGGGTGCAAAGTGTACCCTGCTTTATATTTTTATCCCGTCCTCGTATTACAAAATGCCTTATTTTCTTGATTCCAAGATGTACTATCAATTACATAATTGTATAGAAAAGAAAAAGAAATAACCACAACATGCCAGCATCAATTTAAATATGCAACAGTGGGTGTCTTAATCTTGAGGCCCTATCCTTTTATTTTTGAAAGTGAAGAATTGTCTATGAGCATGTAGATCAGTCAGGCAAGCCATCTCTTTTCACCTCGAAGTGTAGTGAAGTTCTGCTGGAATGGAGTTTAGTGATGAAATGTGCCTGTACCCACAAATTCTCCCTAAATTTTATACCTTTAAATGAGAAGAGTGCGGGCCTTCAGATGCTTTCTCCTGTCATCCCCCTTTTGGCACCTTTTTAGAAAGTTTTTTAGACAGCTGCCCAGTTCAGGGCCATCAATGAGGACAAAGACATCCCCTCTGGGCTGTGCTGCTGGTGGCTGCTTCCTGCTGCGAAGTGAAGAGGCGGCTCTCCCGGTAGCGCCCCCAGGCGGCAATGCGCAGTAGCGACAGGAGCCTGCCGCCCGCGCTCATCCAGCTTGCTTTTTGTTTTTGCTCTCTCCACATCAGGAGCACGAGTATGTTTGACATGCGGTGTGAGGAGGAGGCAGCGGTGCTGCCGCACAGCAGGGCCCGCCAGGAGCAGCTGCAGCTGATAAATAACCAGCTGAGGGAAGAGGACGACAAATGGCAAGATGTGAGTTCGGGCCAAAGCCGCGGGTAGTTGGGGAGGGACTCAGCCGACCACCGGGCTGGGAGGGTAGACTTCAAAGCCCTGCTGGGGAGGGCCGCCCCAGCCTTGCAGATAGAGACCTCCTTGCCAGGGATTAAAGGAGGGGTCTGTAGGAATGCGGAGAGAGGAGGAACTGGCCCTGGCGTGTATGTATCAGCAGGTACTCTGGACCAAAGCTTGGTCACAAAGAGAAAGGGTGAGAGGCAGGCAGGCGACTAGGATAAGCACAGAGCCGTGCTGCCTTTTAATATTCCGTATTTAAGGCTGATGGACGATTACGATGACTGCAACTGTCAGCGTTTATTGTACCAGTAGCAGGCACTGTTTGTTCTAAATGCTTTGCTCTGGGTAATTCATCCAACCGTTTAGTAGCTCAGTGTGCTAAAAATGGTTAGCTCCCAGCACCCACAGAAGTAATCCCAGCCCAGCTAAGTCACCACCGAAGTTCCATAGCTAGTAAGTAGAGAAGCAAGACTCAAACCAGGGAAAGAAGGTGCTAGAGGCTGGCGAGAGCTTAGAAGTGGTGTGCCAAGAGCTTCAGCAGGGAGGAGAGGGGATCATTGTATTTGCTTCTCACAGAGCAGGTAGGTCACTATTGCAAACCTGACTCCACCATTAGTCAAAAAGTTAATTTCTCCAAGTTGGCACAGTGTAATGACAATATGTCTATGTGTCTAACACCTAAGTGTGTCGTCACATCGAACCCCAGGACTTACGAGCAGAGTTGGAATAACCACCCCCATTGTAGGGAAGATGCAAAGCCTTCAGAGAGGTGAGGAAACACAGGCAATGCATGAGCAAGATAGAGCAGGCTGTTTCCCTCAGCTCCAGCTTGTCCGCTGACCCAGCAGCCTTGCTGTTGTGCTAGAAGCACCTGTAGGACAGGTCTCGGCCACTCCTGAGGACAAGAGGAATTCACACATATAGAAATAGGTGGATCTGTAAGACTCATCTCCAGAGCCACATTTTTCAGCCCTTCCTGCCAGCAGGGAGAAAACTGTACACGAGTCCCTACCATTCTGTTGCCAGGGTATCTATTCCCAATACAGATAGCGCAATGTAATTATTAACTTGTAAGACAGTTCTCTCAAATTTGCCAGGCAACGTAAGGTATGATTGTGTTTATCACACCCCAGTGTTTCAGTAAATTGCTGCTCTGTTAGTGATGGTGAGCACACTTCCTGTTCCTTTCCCGGCCTTCCAGGCATCCCTGTTCCAACCAGACCTTCATAGGACTGTGGGGAAGTATCCCGGCGTAGTGTCTCAGTGCTGACAGATCTGTGAGTCACTGAAAGGGAATTCTGAACATGGCATCTCTCTCTCCCCCCAGGACCTGGCTCGCTGGAAGAGCCGTAGAAGAAGTGCTTCTCAGGACTTAATCAAGAAAGAGGAAGAAAGGAAAAAAATGGAGAAGTTGATGTCCGGAGAAGACGGGACAAGTGAACGAAGGAAAAGCATCAAGACTTACAGAGAGATTGTGCAAGAAAAGTGGGTCTCTCTGTTGTTAGGGTGTCAGAGTATCTAGTTACGCATTTTCTAAGCATAGCCTTTGCTATCCCAAAAGCTCCAACGCTAGTATTTCTAGTTTGGTTTTACTCTGCCTTGGTGGGAATCTTTGCAACTTTCCCAGGTGTTCATTGCTCTTCTTCCCCTGTCCCATCCTGCAGAGAGCGGAGAGAGAGGGAGCTGCACGAGGCCTATAAGAATGCACGGTCACAGGAGGAGGCTGAAGGGATCCTCCAGCAGTACATCGAGAGGTTCACCATCAGCGAGGCCGTGCTTGAACGCTTGGAGATGCCAAAAATCCTGGAAAGAAGCCATTCAACAGAGCCAAACCTATCCTCCGTCCCGAATGACCCCAGCCCCATGAAATACTTGAGGCAGCAATCACTGCCTCCACCCAAGTTCACTGCCACAGTTGAAGCCACCATTGCTCGCACCGGTGTCCCAGAGACCAGCGCAGCAGGCGGCAGTGGGTCTCCAAGCAAATCCATCCCTCCCAGTGCGGTGCCTATGCTGACACCCAAGCCTTACACCCAGCCCAAAGCCTCTCAAGAGGTTCTGAAGACTTTTAAGGTAGGGTGAGTCTTTGAGAGGCAAATGGGAAGCGAACTCTGGGTATTTTGTGGAAAGAAGCCTCTGACTCAAGAAATATGCAATAATTTTTATCAAACAAAAGCCAAACACACTTAACATGGACAATAGTACTTCTATATTTCAGGAGATTTGGTTCGCAGATACTTAAGGGTTGGGCATAGCTCTCAGTACTGTTGTTTCTCTTAGTGAACTCACTGTGACTGACCAGGCTTCTCCGTAAGCAAGGCCTCTTTCCTGGCTTGTTGATGATGTGGTTTCTCTTAGAGCAGTGTAAGCAAAGCCTGATTTAGCAATATTCCATGTCTGTAGTGATGTGGATGCATGGAAAACTCAAAGTGTATTTCCTTTTATTTTAAACAGAAATATATACAACTACACTTTAAGGAAGAAATTGACACTATATCCAAAGAGTTGCTGCACTTGGGGGAAATAACACATGGGACACATGGTCGTGTGGGGTGTGTTCATCATCAGACAAGACAAAGTTTTTCTTGAGCGGAAAGCTGCTATATTACTAAAGAGCATATAAAAATCATTTTCAAGAACCAAAGACTCTTTGGCAACAAACATATTTTCCCTTGCTCCTATTCCAGTGTCCACCTATATTGTGGGGGAGCATTAATCCTGTACCTCAAGCTCCTTCGACTCCAAAGACCAGTCAGTGCACATTGTCCTTGCACACTCCATGAGTTTTGTAATAGGTGTCAAAGATGGAGTTCTTCCCTGGGAGTTGGTGCCATTATGGTTGGTGAGAAGTTTGCATAACTCAACTGACGGAGAGTGAATATAGGGGGCTGGCTTCGTTACCAGACTTCAGAGAGACCCCAAATCTACCTTCTGACTGAGGTTGAAATAAATCTAATTTTCTAAATATATCTTTAAAATCTGTATTTTAAAGTTGACTAGAGAGGCCCAAACCTACCTTCTGATTTAGGTTTAAATAAATCTAAATAAATCTTTTAAATCTGTATCTTAAGCTTTGCTAGCATAAAAACGACGAATGTCTGGCCATTTCATTCAGACTGAATTAAAATATTTGTTCCTTACAGGGTAAAAACTTTATTTTACGTGGCTTCATCCTAAGAGCCTGGCATAGATACCCAAGACATAGTAGGCAGTCCGCAAAAGTGAATAACTTAATTCTTCCTGAGATTAGCCATAGAAGTTGAAAATTATTTACAAAGTAATTGTGTGTGTGTTTGTGTGTATGTACACACGTGTGTCTAGCGGTCTCCTCAGTGGTCCAGATATTTGAGTTCCTTCCTTCACCTGGAGCCAAATGATGGGTGGTGTAACATTCCATGGAAGCATTATATTGAGATGGCCCAGAAGAGTGGGAATACATTAGATATTATATATTAATATATTATATGTATTATTATATATCCACTTCCCTCATCGCTGTAAATGGTACAACATGGCCACATAATGGGGAAGGTAGAAAAATTTATTACACAAGTTGGGCTCTGAAAACCTTGTCATTTTTGTATGCTAGCCTGTCTTTCCTTCACTGTGTGTATGGGTCAGTGGGAGGGCATGTGCCTATAACAGGAAGACACTCTCTTAAGAATAAGTGAACAATCGTTGTCAAAGTCACGTATAAATATGACAGTTGTTAGTAGGTTAGAGAGGCGGGGCAGCTTAGAAAAGTGTGCATACATAGGTGTGTGCACACAACAGCAAGACCCTTTCTCAAAATAAAGGAATAAATAATCTGTAGCATATTTTTAGGGAAAAAAAAAGAATAAAGGAAGATCAAGTGATGCAATTCAAGCATCGGTTTTTCAAAAACAATCTTGTTATTGTCGATTCAGTGGTTTAGAATCATCTTAAAAAATGAAGTGGACACGAGTACAATAGGAAAGGTCACACGGATCACACTCGATAAAGATAAGCATACTGTTTCTCTGTCTCCACTCACGCATGTGTGCTGAGTTGTGTCGTAAATTCTCATAGCTGCCAGGTAATAAAGTATGATGGCCAGGCGTAGCCCAAGGTAAGCTAACGCAGCTAATGTCCGACCTTGTGTTGTTTCTTTCAAAAGATTTTAGAAGACCTTCTAAGACTAGCCAGTAGTGTTTGAGGCGTTGCTCCAAGTTCTAAGCATGCCTCAGTCATCTGACCAACCCCACAGCAACACTATGAGGAAGGCCAAGTTGTGTCAAAATCTGCGGTTTTACCCGGAGAGTCAGAAATGCTGGGGGTTGCCTAGCTGCTGAGTGGTAGAATCAGAACTGGAGCGTAGGTCACCTCAGGGTTTCCATAGGCTGGGCGAGCCCCTCCTCTCCTTCTTGCTCAGGCACCTCCTCTAAATAAACACATTTTAGTGAGCATGGACTCTTTAATCTTCTTGAGAAAAAAGATGGAATTATAAAATTAAATAGAAAATGAGACTTATTGTAATATAGCATATCAGAATCCTACCTCCATAATAGCTTTACAAAAACAAACAAACAAACAAACAAACAAAAACCTGTCTTTCTACTAGAAGATAATCCATAAAATTTTCTTGATCAGGTCCTACTTCATTGCTATGCTGATCAGAAATCTTTTTTTTGAATTGTGGAATTGCCACCACAGCTTAAGTTGAAAAATTACTGAAACCCAAATAATGTGGCACGTGTTCAAGACTTTTCTATACTTTCAAATGAAAACACACCATAAATTGAACATAAAATGTCATTCAACTGTGATGTGACTGACAGCCCCAAAGAGACACCCTTAATTTAATTAAGATAGTGGTGGCAGAAGACTGGCTTCTAGGACCCATGAAAACACTGGAGGACCATGATTCTTTCTTGAGATAGGAATGTACACAGAGAATCCTTTAAGGTTATTCAAAATGTGTGTTTCATCATCTTTGGTTGCGGAATAGCATGTTCTCTTGTTCATCCTGGCCATTGTAGGTAGATGGGAAAATCAGCATGAATGGAGAAATGGCGCATGGAGACGAGGAAGAAAAGGAAAAGGAAGGGCCCACGCTGGAACCTGGCCCTTCCTTAACCAAGTCCCAGATGTTTGAAGGCGTGGCTACAGTGCATGGTTCTCCCGTGCAAGTGAAGCAAGGCAGCAACAGCATTGAGATCAACATCAAGAAACCAAACTCTGCCCCCCAGGAACTGACAGTAAGAAGCAGCATTGCTCCTTGGGATAATTCTGTCATGTAATTGACCTCTAGAATAAGTAGGTCATGACAGTGTTTATTTCTTTTTCCATGGGTATCTAAGTTGGGTAGGGCTCCATAGTGAAGTACTACGAACTACAAGGCCTCCATAAGAGAAATTTTCCATCCTAGTCGATCAAAACCCAAAGCCAAGGAGTTAAGAGGTGTTAACCTGCCGTTGGCAGTGAGGGAGATTCTGCCCTAGGCCTCTCCTCAAGCTCCTGATGCTTACTGGCAATATTGACTACCCAAGGTGTGTCGATAACTCATCCCAGCTTCCTCCTTCTTCGCTCCAGTGCTCTTCCTGTGTGCGTGTGTGTGTGTGTGTGTGTGTGTGTGTGTGTGTGCGCGCGCGTGTGCCCAAGTTTCCTCTGTTTATAAGTGTATCAGTGTGGCTGGATACCTACTCCATTAACCTTAACTAAATTCAGCTGAAATAACCCTGATCCTAAGGGAACATAATTCAACCCAAAACAATAAACTGTAATTAAAGATAATATAATTTGAGAACAACAAATTAACACTTCATATTATTGGTCTGTTGTGTTATAGGAAAACATATATCTTTAAATTATCCCTTTTCTCTATTTGTTAAAGACATCATCAGACTTGTTTTTATGCTTTTAAAATAACTAGTGCCGAGCTAGGTGTGGTGGTACACACCTGTAATTCCAGCACTTAGGAAGTTGAAGGAGGAGGGTGTGGTCAGCCTGAGCCTCATAGTGAGACCCTGTCTCTCAGTAAGATGAGTGGTGCTGGCAGAACCTGGCTTCTTAGCTTTGATGCTGTATCTCTGTCTGTCTGCCTGTCTATCTCTTATCTGTCCATCATCTACCTATTCATTATCTGTCTATCATCCATCTATCATCTAGCTAGCTAGCTGTCATCTTCCGTCTACCCACCTACATACATATGTGTGTGTTTTTATTAGTTAAAAAAACAAAAATTCATTAAAAGTACAATTAATTTTTATTAGCATACACTTTAAAATTCAAACTTGTCTAAGGCAACAGCCAAGTCTTCAGCAAACAAGCCAGAAAGAGTGGCTTAAGAAGAGCGGGCATGAGCACTCACAGAGGTGCAAGGCTCGTCTCTTTGGAGTATGTCATGTCCTCAGGGGCTCAGGCTGGTTTCTCTTATCCAACCACAGCTGTCTCCCACACAGGTACAGCCTAGGTTTGGGGGTACAGGCTGCCCTCACTAGCAGCCAACATCCTACTTTGCTGTGGGCTTTGGTAGGTAAGGATGGAGAAATTGTTGAGGCTTCCTCTCCAGCTCCTCACAAGATTTGGTCTGAAAGTTAACTTGCTTCCCACCTCCTCCCCTCAACATGAGGTGGCTCCTTGCCACACACCCACACACTGTACCGGATAATGTCGTCCTTCTATCAGCCAGATGAGAATGTCGTTCACCTCAGTCCCGCATGCTCTGTGACCGAGACTCAGTTGTCACATCTTCACCAAGTGTTGTGACCCAGACAAATGCTCGGTCTCACCTCCTGGACTGCAGTTTTACTTTGGATTTGTCACCACCTCTGGGCACACCTTACAAAGTGGCCGGATTGGGGTACTGAGTTCTGCTCCCAGGAGGGGAGATCTTAACTAGTGAGATAAACATTCACATCTGCTCCTACTTTTAACTTTAATCCCCCAAATACTTAGACACTGTAGGGCTGGGCTTGCTTTTCAGGGAAAGTGAGCCATTCTGCTCCCCACTCTATGTTCTTCAGGAGCATTTTCTAGATTTCCTTCATTCTTAAGTGATTACATACCCCCAAAAGTGATTTATTTTAAGAGAAGCAGCATCCGTGATATGAAATAAATCACGTTATTTCAGGAGTCTGCATGTCCTCAAAAGGGAACTCCAAAGGAAAGGCAACCGTATAGCCTTTCTTCCCCATAACCAGCACGATGCTAGGCAGCCTCAGAGAACAGGTCCAAACTCGTGGGCTAGCCTGGGGTTTATTTCTCTTGTGTCTTCTTTTTCCTAGTTAAAATTAATTTCTAGTTGAGCAAACTTGAGTGCTGACAATAGTGAGTGATATTTATGCTCTGTAGACTTCAAGTTCTTCCACTTGACAGGAGTTATTCCATTATTTTCTAAGTGGATCTGTCTGTCTCTGTCTGTCTGTCTGTCTATCATCTATATATACATGATCTATCATCTATCTACTATCTATATATTTATTCTCTATCATCTATTATCTAATCTATCATTTATTATCTATCATCTGTTCTCTTCATCTATTATCTATCTTATCTAGATCTATATATCTATCTATCATCTATTTCCCTCCCCATTTCTGTGCATGTGTGCACACGTGCGTGTGCATGTCTGAAAAGTTGTTATCTGTGCTATGCAGTACTCTGGCTTACTACTAGAAAGTTTTTCACCTACGCTGGTTACTTAAGATTCTAAAACTTGCCAGTCAGCGGTGGTGCACACCTTTAATCCCAGCCTTCGGGAGGCAGAGATATGTGGTCTCTGAGCATTTGAGGCCAGCCTGATCTACAGAGAGTTTCAGAACAGCTAAGGTTACACAGAGAAATCGTGTCTCAAAAAAACAAGAGTCTAAAACCTTTCCATTCAAGCATGTTATCCCAGGACTCATCTTAAAGGAATCCCTTTCCAAGAGTTAGTCATTAGAGTTATGCTTATATCCCAATATTTGGGAAGCTTATTTGTTGTTGGTTGTTGTTTTACTTTTTTGACTCTTTACTCTTCTGGGGGGCCCACCACCCAGCCTCCAAATAAATCATGCATGGAGTCTTACTCTTTCTTATCTATGCCCAACCTTAGCTTGGCTTATTTCTAACCAGCTTTCCTTAACTTAATTATTCCATCTACTTTTGCCTCTGGACCTTTTCCTTTTCTTACTTCTGTATATCCTACTTTCACTCCTACTCCATGGCTGACTGTGTGGCTGAGTGGCTGGCCCCCAGGGTCCTCCTCTCCTTGTTCTCTTGCTATTCTTTTTTCTGCTCCTCTTTGTTTATACTTCTGTTTATCCTCTCTGCCTGCCAGCCCCGCCTATGTTTTCTCCTGCCTCGCTATTGGCCATTGAACTCTTTATTAGACCATCAGGTGTTTTCGACAGGCAAAGAATCACAGCATCAAAGAATTAAACAAATGCACTATAAAAAAAAAGCAACACATCTTTACATGATTAAACAAATGTTCCAGAGCATAAACAAATATAACACGCCTTAAGATAATATTCTTTAATATTTATTCAGGAGAATTGTTGCAAGTTTGAGGCCAGCCTAGCTTATATAGTAAGTTCCTGGTCAACTAGGGAAATGTGAAATACCACCTAAAAATAAATAGATAATTGCTTTTTAAAAATAAGAATCATGGGTTTTTTTTCAGAAATCTTAATCTTACTTCTTTATTTTCTTTTCTGTTATTCCAAACAAAGCAAGCTGTTATATTCATATTGAAAACATGAAATGAATCGATCCTAGTAAAGGGTGATGGTTGTCTTGAGACAGGATGCTGGGCTTCCATGATACTCAAGGAGTGGGACTGGGTTGAACTTGACTTTTCTGTTCCTAACTCATTTTCTCAGTTCTGTGGGGTTGTCGAAAGAATGGTGTTCTTCTTTTTAAATAGTGTCTTTCTTCCAAGAACTGCATTCTCAAAGGAGACACCCTCTACAGAGGAGTAGCCTCCCCCACCACTAAAATGTCACAGCTGCTTTAGGGCAAGTTGGAACTCTGCAAAGGGCGCAGGGATAGCAGTAGGCAGGGGTGTGAATTCAGAATGTGAGGTGAACCACAGGGGAGGAGGACCCTGCTACCCCTGCTGGGTGCTCTGAAGTGGGAGCAGCAGCCTTTCGGGCTGATGTGGGCACTTTTTATCACACCATGTCACCGCTTTCAGTTTTCTGCTGCTACTTCTTTCTCACTGGGTACCATTGAGACAGTGATTTTCTTCTTTTATAAATGGAGTGGAGGGGAATTTGGATCTCTTCGGACACTTGGGTTTTATCTACCTAGAGCATCGCATTTCAGACCCTCCTGGTAGGTGCAGCTGTGTGAGAATAGGAGTATAGTGTTTGCATAAATGAACTCGAGAAGGATATCAAACAGCATGTCATGAAATGCTAGGTTATAGACTAAGGACTCCAGGGGAATGTAAGATGGCAAAGGATAGGAAAGTCAGGATAGACTGGTCTGGGAAGGGCTGTGTAGGGTGTGGACTTTGAGGCTTGACCTTCAGTGTGGATATTCACATCGAGTTGGAGGGAAAACGTGGCTGTTCCATAGAATGGGAACGTTAGAATCAAAGGACCCAAAAGGGTCGACAGGTGGTGCTGGAGACTAGGTGTTATCCTGTTCCAGACAGAGTGATGGGTTCCCCTCCCTCCCTGTTATTTGTGAGATTCCTCAGAGTTTAGTTTATTTCTGTATCTCTTAGAAGCCCAATTAAAGAAAAACTAGCACCTTGCATTTTAAAATACTGGCTTCTGTGAGAAAACCCTGTCATTGTGCACACACAGGTTCCTAGACTGCAGGACTGGAAAGGAAATGTAGGCGTTTTCCTAACCTGAAGACGAGCGTGTCCTATGCTTCATGTCCTCTATTGAAAGACACGCTTTTGTCTTCGTGCTGTTTAGTGTTGTCAACTTGATAGGTTCCAGGATCACCTAGGAGACAAGCCTCTGAGCATGTCTAGATTGGGTGGTCTGAGGTAGGCGGGGCCACTGTAAATGTGGATGGCACCACTGTACAGTCTGGGACCCGGACTGGATAAAAAGGAGGACAGGAACTGAGCACCAGCGATCAGCACTGTTTTCTGACTGTGGATGCCATGTGACCAGCTGCCTACCACTCCTGCCGCCTTGACTTCCCGCCATGAGGGACTGTATCCCCTTGAACTGTGAGCCAAAAGAGGCCCGTTCTCTCCTTTAAGATGCTTTTGCTGTGTTACTTTTACCACAAGAGAAATAACTACGATAGT